AGGAGCCAGCGGGGAGACATGCTGCTGCTTCTGGAAGCCACATGGAGCCACAGCACGGAGCCAGGCAAGCCCTGGCCCCCACTCCCTGGCGGAAGCTCGAGGACTGGATTAAAACATCTGAAGGGCCGGATGTGGCCCCCGGGCCGTAGTTTGCCCACCCCTGGGTTTGACAAACACCAACTAGAGTTGGTCTAGGCATGTTTAATCTGGCCTCACTGTGGGGGGCGGGGGGGTGGTGGAGTAGATCAGGGGTTCTCAATCTTCCCCGCCCCGAGCCCTCTACAACATGCTATAAAAATTCCACAGCCCACCTGTGCCACAACAACTGTTTTTCGGCATCTAAAAGCCAGGGCTGGCAATCGGGGGTAGCAAGCAGGGCCACAGGAAGCCCCACAAAGCTAAGTTGCTGAGGCTTTGGCTTCAGCCCTGGGTGGCGGGGCTCGGAGCCCCAAGCTTCAGCACCGCACAGAGCAGCTTGGACTTTCTGTCCTGGGCTCCAGCCAGTCTAATGCCAGCCCTGCTTGGAGGACCCCCTGAAACCTACTTGGGGCTCCACAGGGGGCCCAACACCCCAGGTTGAGAATCGCTGGACTAGATGACCTCTTGAGGACCCTTTCAGCCCTACATTTCCACGATTCTATGAAATCCACTGGGGGGGGACAGGGGCAAGAAAATAAAACCACTAAAAGATGGAGCACCGGAAGAAAAGCTCCAATGGAAAAAAACCAAAGTTGCAAAGAAGAAAAGGCAAGTTTCCAAGACCGGCAGTATCCTCATCAGACCATGGGAAAGCGGCACAGGAAGTAGACCTTAGTCCAGCAGAGCGTCAATGCACTCTTCATTATTAGATACAGAAATCAAAAGGGGAAAGAGACATAAATAAAGTCAGGTCAGGCAGTGCTTAGAATCTCTCTCCATATATGAGAAAATAATAAAAGTAAAAAAACACCCCACAAGACAGAATATGCTACAGGAAGCAACCATCCCAAAATATAAAACAGGAGCTGGTTTATGTCCTTTTTGGGGTGTGGAGGGAGGAAACTATAAATAGTCACAACTATTCCTCCCTCAAGGGACTGTGGGATAACATCCTAAAAGGGAGACATAGTGAAAGCACTATATTTTGGATTATTTTAAAACTAGACAGGGCAAAGCAGAGGCTATATTTAGGGAGAAATCCTGTATTGGCCACCAGGGGGTTTACCCCTTCTGCCCGCACCATCTCTGACTTCCATGACTGTAAGATACATGTCATGTGTCAAGGTATATATATTTTAAAAGGCAGAAAATTATCTATTCAGAGTTTAAAAACCCCTCCTCACTCAAATGCTCATAAAAGATTTGGAAGTTCCTCAGATTTATTCACAATACTTGATTTTACTGACATTTTTTCTTGTTTGGTCTTCTTTCAGTGTTGTTCATCACTGTTATTTCATGTGGCCCGTTTGGTTCCCTTCTTGTCCCTTTTCTCCTTCAGTCCCCTCCATTCCTCTAATTTGGGTGGTTTTGCCCCAGTGTTCACCAGTGTTTATCCTTCATACAATACCTTTTGTTTATCTTTGGAGCAGGGGAGGGTAAGGTAAATGTGTGTGTGTCTGCTAAAAAGTCTGCATGTGTATGTGAGGTGTTATAAATACCACTGAGGGATGGGCTAATAACTAGGAATAATCAGAATGAAGATTTCTGTGTTTTAAGTGAACATTGTGGGGAAAATTCCTAACTGTGGTGGAGGGCGGTTATTTCACATTTGAAGAGGAAGTGGCGGAAGCCCCTCTGCTGGATGAGAAGCTGTCAATCTAGGAATCCTGATACACAATAATGGGATGAACATTGTAAGTGACTCGGTCAATGAGATATAACTGACATGTGATCAGACTGTCCTGTGTGAATGTAGTGATCTAACTAAGGCTTTGTCTACGTTACCGCTTTTGTTGGTAAAACTTTTGTCGGTCAGGGGTGTGAAAAAACATACCCCCCAGCCCCCAAATGACATAAGTTTCACTGGCAAAAGTGCTGGTGAGGCCAGCACTGTGTCAGTGGGAGAGGCTCCCCTGCCGACATATTGGGGGTGGTTTAATTATGCCAGCAGGGAGAGCTCTCTCCTGCCTCTGTAAGTCAGTAGTGTAGACACAGCCTAAAATAGGAGGCTGTAGAAAGAGCAAACAGGAAAACCACAACACAGATGTTGGTAAGCAGCCTCAAGCACACACTTGGAAGACAACAGGGCGAGCTATTAGCGTCAAGGACCTTGTAATCTGTCTCTAACACACTGCAAGCCTTGTTTTGGCCAAAGCTAGGAGGGTGGAGATCAAAAGAACACTAAACAGTTAAAAACAAAATTTCAGGAGGAGAAGAGGGAGGGGCTATGTGTCAGCAGCTCAGACAGGGAGACAAGCTGAGGGGTGGGGGCGGGGGGAGATGGGAGCTGGTCCTACCTGGGTCCCCATGCCATGAGGAAGATGGGTAGACAAGGTGTCAGTTAGACATGCGTACAGTCTGAAAGGCTTTTGTTCTAAATAAACAGTACTTTGCTTTAAGGAGGCCAGGAGGTCACTGTATTAACCAGGGTTATTGCTCCCTGAGGGAACATAATGGCAGGGTCTGAGCTTAAGTCGGACATAATGAGATAATCATGGTTAATACACAGGGCTTTGCAACCCAAGATCTGGTCTGAGAGCGAGAGAATTGTATGAGTCCACCTGGAGCCAAGTGATGATTGAAGGCCCGAGAAAAGATGCACAAGACCAGACCGGGGGGGTTGCAGGTGCAGTTTGCCTAGTGACTG